TAAGGTTGCGTATTAGCCATACTCGCTTAACTCAAATGTCACTTAATGGAGCGCCGTCCTGCTCCTTATTGTCCGAATTGCATTGTCCCTCTTACAGTTGTGCATATCCTTGTTGAATGTCCTGACTTCCAGGACGAGTGTGTGTCTTGCTTTCCGACCGTCCCTCGCGGTCACTTGTCCCTCACTAGAATTCTTGGTGAATTGGATACTTTTGATATCGTTCGCCCCTCCGTGGTGCCTCCTTGCTGTGGTGAGGGGCTCACGTACACCTCCCTGGGACAGGTGTGGGTTGCCTGTGCCCCCTCTCCTGCCCCCTCTTTGGGTGGTGTACGTGCTGAAGGGCACTATGTAGGGGCCTTGTGAGCCATCGGACCACCCGCTGGAGGGGTCGCCTGTGAGAGGCCGCCTTGAGTGGATGGTTGGGTGTCCAGGCTAGGGCGATAGGGGGACTGGGGTCTTAGCACCAGTGTGGGAGAATGAACGAAGTAGTAGGACTCCCCTGTTGAAAAGGGGGAGCACCGCTGGGGACGACACACCCTTCCTGCACTGGCCCGCGCTCGGCTAAACCATCTCTAATATCCTAGGAACTAAACAACACTCCCACAACCAGATAACACTCTCTAAGGATGGCTTTGCACCGTCAACTGATTTAGAAATGACAAATGAATTTAATAGCTTCTTTTCATCGATTTGTGCTAACCTCGCCAGTAAAATTCCACAGAACCAAACACCTATCTCTCAGCAGCTATCCAAACTCTCTTCTTTCACCAGTCAGCCCGACAGATGTTGTGTCCATCATACACTCACTAAAAACCAAGGCTGGGAACATTAGTGAAATCCCATCCATTGTATACAAGAGCGCCTCCCATGCCCTTGCGCCACCCATAGCTCTGCAGTTCAACAAATCCCTTGAGTGTCATACCTTCCCTGATATCCTTAAAAAAAGCAAGAGTAACACCAGTTCATAAAGGAGGCAATCCGGCAGACATAAACAATTATAGACCAATATTAAACCTACCCATACTGTCAAAAATATTTGAAACAATTATCTACAAACAGCTCTACTCCTACATCGAAAAATTCGACATACTCAGCCCCTGTCAGTTTGGCTTCCGCTCCCAAAAGAGTACCAACGATGCAATTATTAGTCTCCTTGATATAATTTACTCAGCCCTTGACAAAAATGAGTTTCCGATTGGACTCTTCATTGACCTGAGAAAGGCCTTTGATACTGTTAATCACAATTACCTCTTACGTAAACTCCATCATTATGGAATCCGAGGCCATGCCCTGGACTATATCCAATCCTATCTTAGTGATAGACACCAATGTGTAGCCATCAATGATATAACCTCTCCCAAATGATATAACCTCTCCCACTCTACCATTTACGGTTGGAGTGTCACAGGGCAGCATCTTGGGACCTCTCCTATTTCTTATATACATCAATGAACTGCCTAATGTCACTGACATTCTGAAACTTATATTGTTTGCTGATGATACCTACCCTCCTCTGCTCTAACCCCAACCCACATACACTAAATAATGTTGTTAATAATGAACTAAAAAAAAGTTCACTTATGGATGTCAATCAACAAACTAACACTTAACATAGAAAAGACCTATTACATCTTATTTGGAAGCAAATCAACAAATGCAATTCAGCTTCAGATAGACAATGTTAACCTTTTTTTAAGACTGTACCTCTCCCAACCAGTTTAAGATAAAAACTAAGTACTACCTAATTAACTCAATGTAACCTACCTCATCCCCAAAATGTCCACCCATGTCTACTATTTTAAACAATGCTGTTTGTTGACCAAATTGTATTTTTGTTTTTTCTGCCATATTTCCCCCCTCCCCCCCCTTTTTCCATTTTTTTTTTTATTTTTTATCAACACAATTTATACTTTAATCTCAATTAGTATTAAGTTTTAGTCTTAGTGTTTTTCCTGCCCGAAACGCTTTGCGTAATAGTGACTTTAGGCATTGTATGTACTAGCTCTATCTATAAATCCATCAAATTAGGGAAGGAAACCCCTGATTTTAAACCTCCGCTGCCTTGCGGCTATACCCCTTTTTTGGGAAAGGCTTCAGGAGTCAACCTCCAGGAAAAATCCGGAGTTGGAGCCCCTAAGGCAGTTCGTTGTTGACGTCGACCTCGTTCTGGCAGCTCCTGCGACGTTGCTGGAACAATGTGTATTGGCATTTGCCTTTCTATTGGATAATTTCAGCAACGTGGAGAGGGGGGACCTGCTGCATGGGTAACAGCTTCTCCTCCATATCTATCTACCCAGGCTTTGCGCCCTGTTAGGGCGCAACTCCATAGTCTTCCGAGACTGTAGGATGCCTACTACTACTACTAAATCCATCAACTTTTTTATCTTACTTTGTATGTATGTACTTTACCTGAATAAATATTTGTATTTGTTGTATTTGTATTTGTATTTGTATTAGTAGTAAAAATGATGGAAAGTTTCTTGGCCTATTCCTAGACAAGAGACTCAACTTCAGTACCCACATGCAACACATAACTAAGAAAGTCTCTAAAACAGTTGGTATACTCTCCAAAATCAGATATTATGTACCTAACTCTGCTCTCATCTCACTATATTATGCACTAATCTATCCCTATCTTGATTATGGTATCTGTGCATGGGGTTCAACCACTGCAAACCACCTCAGGTCCATCATCATCCAGCAAAAATCTGCTATCAGAATAATAACAAATTCTGCTTTCAGACAACACTCAGCCCCCTTGTTTAACACCCTAAACATGCTAAACATAATCTCACTCCACACATTCTCTTGTGTCAGCTACATTTACAAAACCCTGTTCTTAAATGCAAATCCTGCTCTGAAACTCTCCCTGGACAGATGTAATAGGACCCATTGTCACCACACCAGAAATAAATATATCTTTGATATCCCCAGAGTCAAACTTAATCTGTGCAAACACACTATGCAAAATAAAGAAACTCTTTATTTCCTTACTCAAGGAAAATTTATTTCCTTGGGGGAAACCCCCCCACCAAGAAACTCAGCATTTAATGAAATAAAACACTTCTTTCTGCTAGAGCCATGGTGGCTTCCTGATTCCCTCCCTTCCGTCAAGTTCAGTTTGTAAATGGGGTGCTCATCAGTTCCAGAACTGATCAGGAAAGTTGGCTATGGACTGAGGCAGAAAGATCGGCAGAAAACTACCGTCCGATCAGCGTAACATCACGCATCTGCAAGCTCATGGAGAGAATCCTAAGGGAGGGGAATCATACAACATCTTACAGAGAACAATCTTGTAAAATTAACTCAACATGGGTTTGTTACAAATAGATCATGCCTTACACAAACCTGCACACATTTCTGGAAACGGTAACCGGCTATTCAGACAAAGGACTTCCGGTAGGTGTAGCTTACATCTACATCTTACAACACCGGGCAACAAAAATCATCTCAGAACGTCATCTCTCGAATCAGGAATGGTTGAGGCTAACGGGGTTAACTACACTTCAAACCAGGCATGACAGGGTGGAACAAAACCTTTAAAATACTGTACTGAACAATTTGGTATAACATCGATTGAAATAAGGGTAGAAAGGATTGCTGGATGCATACAACACAGCAGAGTTGAGAGAAAACGGCAGAGGAGAAGCAACCGACCAGCTGGAGATGAAGAAGCAGAGATCCATGAGACCAGGGGCCAAATTCACGAAGCAATTACTTACGTACTTACGAATGTTTTTCTTCTTAGCGTCTTCGTCGGTATTCAGGTAGGCCTTAAGAAGGAAAATATTCGTAAGTATACCGCCTCGCACTAAGGACGGCCCTCGACCACTCGTAGCTTTACGTAAACTTGATATAGCTCAATGTTTCTCTACTACACAACACGGAGGATTGATTTTAATATAAAGAAACATTTTAGCTGGCTAGTTTCATCACGACAGATTCCTTCATGTTAACTATACAGTATGCATTCTCTGCTTGAAACTTGTAGTAAATATGTCTTTTATGATATTAGAATTAGTTTTATAATAGCAAGATATTATACCAGTAGTTATTAAGTAAATAAACACTGGTGAACATGAAATATGAGAGAAGGTGATGATCCCAGGCTGGTGAAAGCATTTACTTTGATTAGATTAGATTAGATTTGATGAGATTTGTTTTATTCAGGTAAAGGTACATACATAGAAGATGATCGAGTTAGACATAATGTTGGATTTAAAGATAGAGCTAGTGCAACATACTATCACCAAATGCCCCTGTTCACCTAGCAATGAGTATAGCTAGGGGTGTACCTTAGCTATACATACCCATTTTTAATTTATTTTGTTTGGTTTTATTTTGAAATTAAATAAAGAAAAACGGTAGTGGAAAGGGTTACAAAGGAACATTTTTCAAATTCGGATTAAAATGTAGGAATATGGCTTTGTAAGTGTAAATAACACTAAATAATATGTGGAGTGAGTGTATGTTTAGCATGTTTAGGGATTTAAACAGGGGGTTGTGTTGTCTGAAGACAAAATGTTAATTAAGTTAATTAAATGTAATTAATTTAATTACATTTAATTAAGTTTAATTTAAATAAGTTAAATAACATATATGCTAATTAAAATACATTCATAACAATTATAATATGTTTTCTTTGTAGTAATTACGTAATTAAAGCATAATGTCAGTTCAAACGAGCTAGTAAAAAGTTTAGTTTAATTCATTCATTATGCACCCCATACCCATCCTGTGGGCGGTAGTGGAAAGTGTTACAGAGGCAAGTAAAAAATAACATGAAAGTTCAAAATCCCTTCGAAGTTCGGCAGCTGGTGGCTTTTATTCCAAGTTTGGTTCAATTTAATACAAAACATTTTCTTGATAGTAATGATGGAATCATGAGTACTGCAAAATGAATACGGATTTAGCACTCATTCAGTACTAATATAAAAGTAAAGTGCATACGGTGAGATTATAATGGTCATGTAGTGAGTATAAACAACCGGGGAACTTTGGGGAGCAGAAGGTAAACAAACGTGTGGAGAGAAGCATCGTCTGCCACACACCTGCTGCCGCTACACACACACACACCTGCCTGCCACACCTGCTGCCACTACACACACACACACACGCCTGCCACACATCTGTTACCTCCAGTAGTAAGTAGAGTTGTAACCACGCAGCAAGTATTTCCAGACATCTGTCGGGTGTGGAAGTGTTTGATGCAGGTGACCCCTAGTGTGCTTGGTCACGTTGGCCGGCTCCTGCGCCCCCCTCCCTAAACAGCTGTTTTAAGGTGTTTTGATAAATACCTGTATTAGTAGCTGTTGTATATGGTTGGGGAAAGGTGAAGCTGGTGGATGTTTGCAATACTGGTAATTACCTGTGGTGTTGGGCGAGTGGTCGAGGGTGATGCAATCCTGGAGAGGTTAAAGACCTGGGCACACAGGTCACTATACCCAAGATGGTCGGTTCTTCAACATATCTTAAACAAACCCAAAGTCACTTTTTGTGTGGATCTTGCGTAACCGTTCACCTCACAGGTGTTGCCTGTGTCCAGCCACGGTTACCTTCCCTGTGAAGTGTGCCTCGGCATGGAATGCACAGGGATTTGTGCATATATTTTTGGGCATATGCCCACTTGCTGTCATTATCACTGAAGTTGCATTTAGTGTCTGCTGAAGAGCAGTTGCCTGAACCTCGTGTTCCTGCTTGGTTTTCGCTGTCAGGGTCTGGAAAGTTCCCCCCCCCCTTCCCTACAGGTCTTTGATGTGGTTTATATACGGGCAGGGTTTGAAATAATTAAACAACTTTGCAAGGTTGAGGATACGTAACTTTTATATGGATAAGGTTCATGTTACCATAGTGTTCATCAATTTCTTTGAGCAAGTTGCTCAAATGCATCTAAATATATGTTCATAACTAATTTTGATCATGTGGGTTTGTGTACATTTAGTTACTAGGTATGTATTCAGTATCTATTACCACTTCTTGATTTAAATGTAACTTTATTGTGTTTTCTGGGAGGTTGCCCCAGGAGCTGCTCAAGCTAAGCACTTGTTCAGCCATGCCTTAGGGAGACCCACTTTTGCCTACTGGGAACCAGGAAGAGAATCTGGCTATTTCAATCCAAAACTAAGAAGAAAATCACTAGAAAGCACAAATGCAACAAGCAATTGCTTGAAGAAAATTGGATTCTGTTGGTAACAAGAGGATCCCATAGTGTAATTCACTTTGTTCTCGATTCAGAGATCCCCTTTTCAATTCCTGCGCAGGACCTGTTGGCCCAATTTATCACAAGTCGGGTCAATTTTATCACGAACCCCAGGTCGGGTTCGGGGAGTAGAAGAACTCCCGAGACCCTCTCCAGGTAAGACTCGGGTAAGATAGATATAGTTGGGTACATTTCCCTTAACCTGATGTCTCTGTTCATCTAGCAGTAAATAGGTCTGGTGTTTATAGTTCAACTAAGATGCTTCTCTCGTGCCTCCTAGCATGCCTTCCAACCTACTGGGCGGTCTGGGTTGTTAGTTTCTTAACCCATGAGTTTTCGCTCAGGCATGTACAGTACTTTTGTTTGGGTTGGTATGACTTACCCAGGTGGCATTGCTGTTTGCAGTTACTCAGCGTGTAATTTGTTGTTTTTGAATGCTAATGCTTGTTTCTTTTGTATTGGTCATTCACCACATCTGTCTCTGCACAGCTCTGCTCCCTTCTTTGTACAGTCTGCACCATTGGGCTGTACTCTGAGAATAACCTCCTTGGGGTTCAGTCCTCAATGCAGTTCACATTTGGAATTTTCAAACTTTGCAAACTATCTCAAATTCTTATGCCCATCCTTAAGAGTGATCAGTGGATGAAGCCTCTCTTCTCCTGGCTTTACAAAATGTTTGGCTATATGCAGGTGGACCTGGTTTGCTTCTATGCAGAACTGGCACCTTCCAGTGAATGTGGAACCATTTCCAGATCACAAAGATTTTGTGGTGGATGCATTTCACCTGGACTAGTCATTGGTCTTACCTGTATTTCATACCATTAGTCCAGTTGCTTTCAGTGCTATCTACATTGTAGATGTTTATGAGCCAGCCCTTTCTAATTGCTCTCATGGGGCCGATTCAGCCGTAGTTCCAAGCCCTTCGGGCTCTTTGTCCCAACCTTCTTTCCTTCCCGGGGCTCCAACTATTCCAGAAGATCAACATCATAACCAATGCATTAATATGCATTGATGATGTGTAATAAGGTAGCCAGACTGAATCTCACAACATTTGCTCAATATCTTTGAAACTGAAGCACTTTATGGGGAAACAATTTGTGCTCGATTTTTGAATTTTAAAGGTACTGTATTTGCGGTACAGTGGAACCTCTATTAACGAGTGGCTCTATTAACGAGTTTTTCCAGTAACGAGCAAGCCACTCGCAGCAAATTTGTCTCTATTGACGAGCTCGCCTCTATTAACGAGTGAAACCACATGGCGCTTCCTAGCGTCTCGCGGGTTCTCGCAAATTCTCAGACGCCTCCGACGCTAGTGTTGTTGTTGTATCTCACACGACAAGCATCCCTCTGGATTTATTTGAGCTTTTCTTTGGGTTTTTAGTGGTTTTGCGACTACAATTTGTAACACACGATGTCTCCAAAGAAGCTGCTTGCTAAAGATAGTGTTGTCAAGAGGAAGAAAGACACAATTACTGTGGATTTCAAGAAGGGAATTATAGCAAAGCATTTGTGTGGTGTCGGTGTGATTGATCTCACAAGGAAGTATGGCAGGTCCTCATCAACAATTTACACCATTAGTAAGGGAATGAGGAGGTAAGGGAGGATGCTGCCTCTTCCACTGAGATCAGGGAAGTGTTTGGAATGTTTGAAAAGGTGAACGCATTCTTGGAAAAGCTGCCCTGATAAAGCAGTGACAACCCGGTGTGTGAAAATGTTTAATTAATTTATCACTGTGATAACACTTTATGAAAGTGTTATCACTTTCGCAGGTATATGTCGCTTGAACGTAACACACTTTTTTTCTCTTGAATGCACCCAAACACCGCGCTCAAGCGTCATTTGAGCAAATATTTCTATAAAATCCAATTCTTATCCGATCGACTTGGGGATTGTATACATGTTTGCCATGAAATTTCCGTTTTCTTTAATAACCACATTGCCTATTTGAGAAAACGGCATTGTATTGTATCTTCGTGGTAAGACTATTATATTGTTGACACAACGAGTGTAATCATCGCAGTTTTTTTATTTGGTGCTGGTCTAACGCATCCTTGTGTGACATTTGAAAGGAAATTTGGGTGAAATTCCCAAGAAGAGAGAGTCCGCCTGACTCAGAGGTGGATTCTCCTTCCACACCATAATCCCTCTCCTCCTTCCCACCTCTCCATCGTCTCCCTCAAGCCAGCAACTACTCTTCATAAGGTAAAGTAAATATTAAAACACTACAACAAAACATTTATATTTACATGTGCAATATTATATTTACATAAAAAAAAGTCATACAAGTATGGATGTTTTTGGGAGTGGAACGGATTAAATTTATTTCCTTTATTTTAAATGGGGAAATTTGTTTCCAAAGACGAGTTTTCCAGGTAACGAGCTCGGTGCCAGAACGGATTAAACTCGTTAATAGAGGTTCCACTGTACTTATGTATGCACAATATATTTATTTTCATATATTGAAAGTATTCATAATTGCACAAAGCTTTTAATTGCTTTGGGTCCTTCTGTACAGAGAAAAACTTGCACAGTTGTATTTATAATAATAATAATAATAATTTGTGTCTGGGGGACAGACAACCAGTATATACATACAGTGCAGGTTAGGCTTATATCAAGGTCCAACCTGGGGTCAAATTACTGATTCTTCCAGGAAGCAGACCCACTTCCAGGTCCCTATTTACTGCTAGGTGAACAGAGCATTAAGTGATGGGTAAAGCGCCCAACCATTTCTATCCCGTCCAGGATTCGAACCTGGAATTCTCAATTGTGAGTCGAGAACGAACCTGACTGTACTACCAGAGCCCATAGCCAAGGTGTAGTATAATTTTTGTATCCTTTTATTCAAAGGTGCACTTGATGATTACTTAAGCTTGCTTACCCATTTCTTTTGTAATTTTCATATAGTTGTTACATTACTTTTAATAATACAGTACAGTACTTATGAATTTTAAGCTTATCTTCAGAGGTAACCACATAGTTTACTGTATTGTTCTTCTTAATTTTGATGCCATTAAATGTTTTGAGAAAACATTAAATATTTCTGAATGTTTATTACACCTATTTTTTCAGGATGATGAGGTGACGGTTCTAGTACATAATTGGTGTCTTTTCTGTCTCCCATGGAATGGTGTGTTCTTCTGAAAACCCTTCATAAAAAATATCCTTAATAGTGTAGTCATTATGCTACGAAGTGCTACATATCACATTTTTCCTGTGATCAAGCAGGTAAATATATACGTGGAAACTTTTACTTAGGTTATTACACTAGAATATAAAAGTAGTTTTTGGTATTAGTTATACCCTAACAGGTCTGAAAGCCAGAGGAACAAAAAGTCAACACCCATTAAGGTAAAGGGTACAGGGAAAAGGGTGTCTGAAAATGACAAGGTTGAATGATTTTAAATGTCGGAAACTAAATGTACACCAAACCCAAGAGTTTGTCTTTCATAGTCCAGGGGAAGACAGTAAGGCACAGAAAGACAAACCTGCCACAACACTGGGAGAGTCAACCCAAAGACAAACCTGCCACAACACTGGGAGAGTCAACCCAAAGACAAACCTGCCACAACACTGGGAGAGTCAACCCAAAGACAAACCTGCCACAACACTGGGAGAGTCAACCCAAAGACAAACCTGCCACAACACTGGGAGAGTCAACCCAAAGACAAACCTGCCACAACACTGGGAGAGTCAACCCAAAGACAAACCTGCCACAACACTGGGAGAGTCAACCCAAAGACAAACCTGCCACAACACTGGGAGAGTCAACCCAAAGACAAACCTGCCACAACACTGGGAGAGTCAACCCAAAGACAAACCTGCCACAACACTGGGAGAGTCAACCCAAAGACAAACCTGCCACAACACTGGGAGAGTCAACCCAAAGACAAACCTGCCACAACACTGGGAGAGTCAACCCAAAGACAAACCTGCCACAACACTGGGAGAGTCAACCCAAAGACAAACCTGCCACAACACTGGGAGAGTCAACCCAAAGACAAACCTGCCACAACACTGGGAGAGTCAACCCAAAGACAAACCTGCCACAACACTGGGAGAGTCAACCCAAAGACAAACCTGCCACAACACTGGGAGAGTCAACCCAAAGACAAACCTGCCACAACACTGGGAGAGTCAACCCAAAGACAAACCTGCCACAACACTGGGAGAGTCAACCCAAAGACAAACCTGCCACAACACTGGGAGAGTCAACCCAAAGACAAACCTGCCACAACACTGGGAGAGTCAACCCAAAGACAAACCTGCCACAACACTGGGAGAGTCAACCCAAAGACAAACCTGCCACAACACTGGGAGAGTCAACCCAAAGACAAACCTGCCACAACACTGGGAGAGTCAACCCAAAGACAAACCTGCCACAACACTGGGAGAGTCAACCCAAAGACAAACCTGCCACAACACTGGGAGAGTCAACCCAAAGACAAACCTGCCACAACACTGGGAGAGTCAACCCAAAGCAGTTACAGTAACACAAAGGAAGTGAGTCACCCATAAAAACAGCAGATCTAAAGAAATGGCCCGAGGACATGGGCAATGTGATAAATAACCACAAGACCAAGGACCGTTACTTGGAGAACTGCAGAGAGCCAATTGCCCTGAGGGCCAACTGCCAAAAACATGACAGAAAACCAGAGCTCTAGGCAACTCTTGCACAAATACCATGTAGGAAAATACCAAGGGGTGGAAAATGATGGGAGCCAGTGCTTGTAAGGCAAAAAATGGCAAGCTGCCAAGTAAACTCGGATCAGCCTAAACAAAGAGCATTGGATCCATGCCCCTGCTAAGACACAATTATTCAAGTGGAGAGTGAGAAACAAAATCCCATTCAATAGCTAGACAATAAAGACTATTACCTTTGCACCTAGTGCCTGGAAATGAAAGGGTAAAAAAAACTAACAAGCACAGCATGTACCAGACACTGACAGGGAGCCTGCACCTCGTTGTTAACAGCACCGAAATGACAAAGAGCAACTGCAGGATGCCCTTTCTTTTTCCTTGAAACACTTTGCTTGCCATCACAAGTGACCAACAACTAGCTGGACTCCTGTTCTCTTCCCACTTGTTGCCACTGAGTGGCAGTATGTTGTTCAGCCCATTGACTTGCATGATGTGTCTTCTAATTTCAGTCAATATTGTGCAGCACTGTTTAGGAGAAATATGCCTGGTGCAATGTGGATGAGTTTTTGTTTTGTTTTTTATTATGTGACTGTTTATCTCATGTTAAAGGATACCAAGATCTAACATGCTGGAGCAGCTGAATGTTATAGCTCAGAAAGGTCGTCATCATATTAGTGTTCCTGTGGTATTTGGAGAATGCCTTAGAGATTCAAATGGAAACTTTCAACATGATGATGGGTCTAAGGTCCTTGTCATTGTGTCATGCCCCTCCCTGGTGGCAGAGTTTATTACCATTTTAACAATGTGTCTGGGGAAGGGCTGACAATACTGTGAGTGATGTCTCAAAATTAAATAAGTGTATACTGTATTTGCAGACTTTTTTAAACACATGCCCCCTATACCAGGAAATATTCCCATTAGCTTTAATTGGAAAAATTATATGCTTTACTCAATTGTTTTTGTTAAACTATATTTGCATGTTGCAAGACAATTCTAGATAATCAATTTTAATCTAGTATGTGCGTGTCTTCGAACCGCACTATTTATTATGTAAATTATCTTCAGAATTAATAGTACAGTAATTCATTTGCAATTTCTGCAGCTTTCATCATACAGCATTTGTAATGTGAGAAATTTGTCAGTCTTTAATCCAAAAGTCAAACTGACATGAAGAATTATAAAGGGTTTTTCTTAATTTTGTATAATTAACCATATTTATATTTATTTTAAGCCTTCTGGTTGTGACCAATTCTATAATTAGGTTTATATAGTTCATATCAACTAGTGAGGTATGACAATCCAGCCCCCCACATTAATCTTCCCTATCATTACTCTGATTGGTCTCCTTCCCTTCCCTCTTTCCCTCCTCCCCCCATATCTCAGGATATGAACACCACCCTGTTCATATTCAGAGATATGTTAGCCTGAGGATACATCTCTGGATCATCCTCTTGTGCTTGAAACATAAGAGGATGTTTGAAACAAACATAAAACATATGTATGTTTGAAACATACTCTGGACAGTAGAACCTCCAAACAGCAGCTTCTTGGAAATAATGAACCAAATCCACCTTCTGGATTGCTATTCAGAATTTTTAATTTATTGGAGAAAAAATCCATTTCTGGAATGGTTGGAGCCAGTGTGAAATCAGTTGTTGAATAAAGTAATTTCCAGCAGCTCGTGCTTTATTTTACAGGTTTTACTATTCTTGTACATACAGTATTTAATTTTGTCGTGGTCAAAGGCGGTGCCAGAAATGCTATTCTGAAAAATGTTTGAGACCATATATCTTTTAATTGTGAATTGATACAGGTTCCTATGATTTTTAATGGAAAATAGTGAGCAAAAGAAAGAGCTTTTGGCATAGGAGAGTAGAGGGACCCAATTCATTGACACCATTAGAGGGGCATTGCACTTCCTCCAAAAAGGAAGGTTTACCGTGGAGTGGGGGTAAATAGATGACTGTGATGCCTCTTTCTGGGGGGAGCCCCGTCGGCTCCCCGGCGCTATCCCAGGCTGATATGCTAATGTCAGACTTTGGCATCAGTCATGTGTATGGAGTTCTTAGGCCTACCGAGGACCACGGCCAGAACCGGGCCCCCTCAGAGAGGCAAGGGGAGCAATGGCCTATAGAAGCCCCCGTGTAGTTGGAAGCATTCTATGTCTGCCATCGACCGGAACAGGCACCCAGAAAGGTAAGCGCCCCAAAACAAACCCCTATTCTGGTTAAAATTGCTACCAAAAACCGAACTAGTGGATAGAACTCCCCAACTGAAAACAAGCAAACTAGTGTGACGTCACACACTGCCGCGCCGCTGTCTGCGCAGCTCCCCCCTCCCCGGGAGGGGGAAGGGGGAGCCCCAGACCCCCCGCGCCGGCTACCCACACCTCAGTTCTTGAGGCTGATGCTATAGGCGATGGTCGTGTGCTCTGGCTCCGGTGTCGCTACTGCACTGCGCTTTGCGTGTGGTGTTAGTTTTGTGGGTGCGAGAGCCAGGAGTTATCTTCAGTACTCGGGCTGCATGCGCCTAGGGCTGCCTTCCCTAGGTGCCCTGTAAGTACTGCCCTTGGGGCTTGGGGCCACCTTCCACAGGCTCCTCGGGGTCTGCCTCTGCTGGTCCGTTTTACCTTTCGGTTTTTCGGCCGCCTGTTGGGCTCTTGGGTGTTCTGTTCTCCCTTGTTACCGGCGGGTAAGAGGCAGTTTGCACTGGTAGGGGCGCAGGGTGCTGCTCAGCTTGTAATTCCCGACATCGCGGCCGGCTCTGTTCCTTGGGGTTCGCTGTCCTCTTGAGGGGTTTTGTTTTTCTTTTTGTTTTTGCCTGGTGGGGGGTTCTGTCGTTTTATTCAAGTTTGTTTTTGCCCTTCCACTGTTCTCCTCGGTGGCGCCCCCTGCTAGGTCCCCGTGAGTGTACACGTCCCTGGGGTTCAGCTTTAGAAGTTTGCTTGGTAGTTTTGGGCGCCGGTTTGCAGCACCCTGCCTGGGACTACCTGAGCGCAGAGTCCTCTTAAAGTAAACGCTCAGGACCCTGGGAATCCCCTAGGGGGCGCGTGGGTCCGATGGATGTGACCCCGGAGTCCCCACTCGCTGTGTGCGAGTTTGAGGGTTGCTCGGTCCCCTTGTCTCAGGGTGACCCTCATTGTTTTTGCCTCTGCCACGCTGCCTGTTGGGTCGGTGATACTTTCGACCCTGAGTCCTGTGAGTGTTGCTGCTTGCTTGTGACTCAATTTACCCAATCCTCTGATGATTCTATTCGGGTACAGGCGGCACGTGCGTTGCAGTCTAGGTTTCGTCTGTTGCAACGCGCTCGGTTGGTTGCTTCCCCGGATGCCCCGGGGCTGCCCCGCTTTGCTTTTCGAGACCCGGACTTGGGGGTGGGGGTCGCTTCGATCCTGGTTCAGTCCGCACCTCCTCGTCCTTCCCCTTCTGTTCGTTCTGGTCCCCCGCCCCTGCTTCCGGCCCCGAAGCGTCTGAGGGTTTCGGGGTCGGAGCAGGGGTTACTTGATCTCGAGACTCGGGCAGCTTCGGGGGTTGCCCCTTCCGGGGGGGCGGCAGAGGCATTAGAGTCTTGTCTCCCGGCCGAAGCTT